AAAAAAAAAAAAAAGTTTTAGATCTGTCTTTTCTCAACTTACCATAAAAACATTTTTCCTTGTTTCTACATAGTCTTCATTCTTGTTCTCCATTATATCCACAAATTCCAGTTCTGTGCTTTGCTAACTTAGTGAAGAAACATAATTTTGAATGGCTGCATGTTTTCTTCATTCACATGCCAGAATTTACATGTGAATTCCCCTATTGTTAGAATAGTAGAGTACATTAAATAAATGCTAAGTATTAAAACACTATTATGCACATAGCTTATTTGAATTTACAGCCTATTAAAAAGTGTAAAGCATTAAAGTATTTAAAGTCTTAAAACACTATTATGCACATGGCTTATTTGAATCTACAGCTTATTAAAAAAGTGTTCTAGGGCGGTGCCTGTGGCTCAGGGTGCCTGCCCCATATACTGAGGGTGGCGGGTTCAAACCCGGCCCCTGCCAAATTGCAACAAAAAATAGCTGTGCATTGTGGCAGGCACCTGTAGTCCCAGCTACTCTGGAGGCTGAGGCAAGAAAATCACCTAAAGCCCAAGAGCTAGAGGTTGCTGTGAGCTATGATGCCACAGCACTCTACCCAGGGCAACAAAGTGAGACTATCCCTAAAAAAAAAAGTGTTTTCTGGCCAGGCACAGTGGCTTATGCCTATAATCCTAGCACCCTAGGAGGCTGAGGCAGAATGTTCACTTGAGCTGAGGAGTTCAAGACCAGCCCAAGCATGAACAAGATCCCCATCTCTACTAAAAATAGAAAAATTAGCCAGATATTGTGGTATCTGCCTGTAGTTCCAGCTACTTGGGAGGCTAAGGCAGGAAGATTGCTTAAACCCACAAGTTTGGAGTTGCTATGAGTTAGGCTGACTCCACAACACTGTAGCCTGGGCAACAGAGAGAATCTGTGTGAAAAAAGGAGTGGTTTCTGAGCCTTTTCACATTTGTCCAAATACTGGAAACTAAGCTGGGCACAGTGGCTCATGCCTATCTATAATCATAGCACTCTGAGAAGTGGGAGGCCCAGGCAGGTAGATTGTTTGAGCTCAATCTAGTTCAAGATCTGAACTCCTAAGCAAACCAGAGCAAAAAGGAAACACCACCTGTACTAAACATAGAAAAGCTAGCAGGGCATTGGGGCGGGCACTATAGTCCTGGCTATTTGGGAGGCTGAGGCAAGATGATTGCTTGAGCCCAGGAGTTTGAAGTTTCTGTGACCTAGGCTAATGTCATGGCATGCTACCCAAGATGATAGAGTGAAGCTCTGTCATAAAAAACAAATAAAAGGCTCGGCGCCTATAGCTCAACCGGCTAAGGTGCCAGCCACGTACACCTAAGGTGGCAGGTTCGAATCCCCAGCCCGGACCCGCCAAACAACAATGA